ACAAAACGTGATTTGGGAAGCCAATTTGTCAAAATGCAACAAAATGTGAGTGACGTCAAGATCTTTATTGACAAGCCAGTTAGCAATTTCTAGATCATCAATATGTACTTATTTAGATAATTAGAACCATATATAGAGTGTAAATTGTAATCCCAAATACTTTTTAATACTAAGATCGGTCAGATATCCAGCAGGTGAATTTTTAAACTAAAAATTGAATCTTCGTGATTTTCATGAATCAATTTTCGGAGCACCTGGCTTAATTTTTTCCCCTTTGAAATAGATCAATTCAGTCTAAATTCATTTATGAGTATTCGTCCTACCAAAATAAAAGAGGCCCTCTTTAAATACCTTATTTTTTCTGAACAAAATTCGTTTTCTCCGTGAATCTTCCGCACAAACTATATCATTTCGTTCTTGGTTCGAAACTTCCAAGATATTTTTATCATAAATACGTAATAGTAAGGTTTTAAAGACGTAGAAACTCAACCTTACTATCCAAAATTATTATATTTTAAGAGCGAGTAATTAAAAATCTTTTGAACCAAAAATATTTATATAACAACATTTACCTGAACACTTCAGTTTGAAATTCGGCAAAAATATTCTGTTTCACAGCGAATTGATCTCAAGTAGTGCTCAAAAAGCATTCAATTACAGAAGGTGCACTGAAGGAAGAATTATCGTTAAAAATGAACTCAACATCACAATTCGCAATCAAGTTGCATCAAAAATACTCTTTAAATGAGTTATCGAAAACAAAAATTTTCTTTATCGCTGTAGACGGTGAAGGTAGCTTCATGGCCTCGAACTGTGTTGTGGCAGGCTAAACAAGAACACATGGTAGAATATCTTGTAGATCATGACGAAGTTCGCAAAAGAACATGTGACAATCTAACACGTGTGTGTATACAACTTGACATGGGCAAAAAAGCCTTCATTGCTGTTTTTCCCCTCAAAACGTGTAATTTCATGAAAAAATTTAGGGTGCTAGAGTTTTACACTATGTTCAGGCCTTAACTTAATGAGAGGAGTGGATAAAGTACAACAAAAAGTGGGAAACAGAACGCTCACCCGGAGGCCAAATTAAAATCTAGAATTTTATTAACGCTGCCTCTATATTCGAATTGTTTTCGTTGCCGCTACTCAGCTCATAAATGAGAAGCGTGAGTTTTCTAATAATTTTTTTAAAATGTAAATATATATATCGTCATACTCCTAAATATTTTAGCTAAATTCAACGAAAAGTTTTACTTCTCGAGCCTTAAGCTACGATTGTTACATGATAAAATGACATGGATGCTTCTTGCAGCCTTTGTGTATTGAATACAATGACGGGCCTTTGCTGCTAGTCAAAAGTCGGAGTTAAAATTAGCGCTGGTATATCTAAGTCCAAGCTTCCGTAACTTATAAAGAAAGCACGTAAAAATATGTACGTAGAAATACTTAATGACAAAATTAGGTATCCTGGCTTCAAACTCTCACATATAAACTTTAAATATATATTTAATAGCGTTGCGATGCATCTTCACTCACCCACGTGGGTTCTACATTAAAATTATTACAAGACTAACATTTGAGGTAAACTAATAACAGTGATTTATTGAGAACATGTTCCTGAAGGTACGCACGAGTTGGTTGCGCAGGAATGTATGACCTTGGCTCAAGATCTGGCCATACATCGACCACTTCAATGTCTATCAACAGCCCGAGAATCTACGGAGGCCACGTGCAATGCTACTAACGATAAATGCATTCAAAAATATTATTTAAGATTCCAATATATTGAACATTTTTTAACATGGAAATTGATGCTTGTACTCTGCATACTCAGGCGTGACCAAAAGTAACGAACTGACAAATATACACAAAAAAATATGTGTTAGAGATAGAGCAAGCCAATTCCTACCGAAACGCTATAGGAACCAAGGGAAGCAATGAAAACAGTTTGTTTCTGAAGGGCCCATGTACGCCATTGTGACCTTGTGATCTGTTGACAAGTACAGTCTGAAAATAACCATATGCTCCGTCGCAGAATATCTAATATTCGATTCTGTTATTTCAAATTTATAAAAATTTTCAATATTATATGAATAGTGTTAAATTGCTATGAATTCACTGGTAACATACTTTGTTCGACAGATATTTTAATATTTTAATTGAGATAGAGGCAAGTTACCCATAAAAAAAAATTTCTGTGAAGTATCTCACACACTTTGGCCAACCAGCTGATTATCATTCGCGTCCCAAGCTGGTGTCTTGTCAGGTTCCTAAAGTTGCTCAACAAATAAAATAGGAAATGGTGAAGGAAACCAAAAATTGAAAACCTCTATTTTAGAGTGAAATGCCTTCCCCTCACTAACTTATTTGATTAATTCAAAATAATACGCTTGTAATAGTAATAATATAATATAATAATACAACGTGCATTGTTGGGGTCAAAGACCCTACATTTTGTAAGCTCGCAGTAGTTCTGGTCATGTATTCGGCTTTGACTTTCACAGCTTGTTTTTCTAGGATAGCTATAATCAGCATTATAATGACATACGAGAAAAGTTCCAGTTTGTTATTATTACATATGAGCGAAATTCTAGGTTGAAACAGCTGTGGGCACCAAAACCAAACGTTTCTCATGGCTTTGTTTGCTTGTTCTTTGTCACTTGGGCCAACTTCAATATTTTCAGCCCCAGATTGAACCTCCAGTAGAACTGATATAAGATTTATATATGATTCATTCGCGACCAATAAAAATATCTGTAAATAGCCACAACTACGATACAATCCTGGTAAATGTTTCATATTAGGAATATGTCAGTTTTGAATAGCAGTACGCTACATCGGGTGCGGTAGCAGTACGCTACTTCGGGTGCTGTAGCAGCACGCTACAACGGGTGATGTAGCAGCACGCTACATCAGGTGCAGTAGCAGTACGCTACATCGGGTGCAGTAGCAGCACGCTACGTCGGGTGCAGTAGCAGCACGCTACATCAGATGCAGTAGCAGCACGCTACATCGGGTGCAGCAGCAGCACGCTACATCGGGTGCAGTAGCAGCACGCTACATCGGGTGCAGTGCAGTACGCTACATCGGGTACTGTAGCAGCACGCTACATCGGGTGCTGTAGCAGCACGCTACATCGGGTGCAGTAGCAGCACGCTACATCGGGTGCAGTAGCAGCACGCTACATCGGATGCAGCAGCAGCATGCTACAACGGGTTCTGTAGCAGCACGCTACATCGGGTGCAGTAGCAGCCCGCTATATTGCGTGCAGTAGCAGCATGCTACATCGAGTGCAGTAGCAGCAGCACGCTACATCGAGTGCAGTAGCAGCACGCTACATCGGGTGCAGCAGCAGCAGCACGCTACATGTGGGTTTACCTCTTTCCCCACTCTAATCCCCTCCCGCCACTCATCGCCCACTCAGCCCCACCCCCTCTCTGCCCCTCTCTCCCCACCTCCCGCTTCAACATGACGCAGGATTTCCACCACTAGGGCAGCGCCTCCGCAGTACAAAGGATTGTGTTCGAGGCAGCCAGTAGATCCTGCACAAAGCGCCACGTCAACAAACCAAACTATTCCAATCTATTTAAAAGTTATTAAATACATCGATAACTTATGGTAAATGATACCTAGCACCACACAAGTTTTAGGAAAAAAAACGAATGAAAAACTTTGTTCTGCACGAACCCAACCAGAAGCACCTAGCGACACAGAGACTACGGACAAACATACAAACTGTTGCTTCAGTTAACTCCTGGTGTTTGTCTCTACTCTCTTGCTGTACGCCTGAGAAAAAGATTGTGAAAAGAGGCAAATGAAGAAGATCAAACAGACGAATGAGACGTTCCAACAAATTTCTGGCAACTGTTTTAATTAATGATCGGAATCCCTGGACTCCATCAAGATGTAAGCATGTTAAATGATTTATGCATCAATGATTGTTCAAAATTACCAGAATTCCATGCATCCAACGAATGCAACGAATCGTGTACAGTTGTGCAAATATGTTCAAGTTACACTGAAAATTACTCAGATTTAAAACTAATGAGAAAATATTTCCTATGAATCATAGGCTCTACTCTACAAAAATCAACCATTGACCAGCAGTGACAATGTCGAGCACCGTTTATATCGAAAACTAACTACATTCACTTTAAGTTATAATTAATTCCACGACCAGATTTTTAGGAGAACACAAGTACACAACTGCGAAATTTCTAATTTTGCACGACCGACTCTCTTCACTTTACGATGAGGGCTTTTGTTGCTTGCATCCCAGACAAGCGCCTAACACTGAGTCTGTACCTTTGTTAGGAAGGAAGAGGAAAAACCCATCACAATGAAGGAAGTTGTATAATATTTATTGATTTCATTTACATTATACATGAGAAAATTTATGTAACGATATTCAAAAATTCAGGCCTAAATGACATCAGTTAATATAAATAGAAGCACAAAATCGTTTCGTATAATTTTTTATGTTCAACCTGAAAATATTATTGCTGCCAATGGTGATAATGATGAAGATGCGTGTAATTTCTTATCCATGTGTGAGAGAATAATTTCAAATAATAATCATAAATCCTAAAAGCTTTGGGACAGGCTCTTTGTGATCGACAATTGATTAAATTATAAAAATACCAGTACTTGTGAGGGTTGCTAGCTAATCATAACGTTCTGGTGTTTTTTAGATGTTTTATCGTGGCAGGCTTTATCAGTCTGTAAGGCTTCCCAGGACCAAACATATTTCGCTTCGTGTCCGAAGGAATTCCTGGACTAATTTTATTAATTGGATGTAAACTATAGCGTTGAATGACGTAATGCGCTGTAGGGTTATCATCCTATGCAGGTGGAGAGCCTCGTAGCGATGTGTTTTCATGTCACAAATAATAATGGGTTCTGCTCGCCCAGTTGGGGCCTGGTTACAGCAAAGCGGCTTGGGACGAGAATGACTAGGCGATCAGCTGTGCCAGCTGTTGTGCTAGCAGTGTTCATGCAGGCGACGTTTGAGCTGTGTCTGACGCGATGAGTCTCGAACATTTCACAACTTCCAACTATTCATTACTCTTTGGAGTTCGGTAAAGAAGGCTAGTCCTTTTCTCTGATGAGTTTTTCATTGTGAGAAAAATGAGGACTGGAAGTGCGGCGTTTCAGTTTAAAACCATGTAGCCCGATTCCTAGGGTCTTTCCTTTGTTTGATCTGCCTGTCACATTGAAGCATCAGCTTCTTGCTTAACGATTTCAATTTTTTTTAAATCAACCCTAAAAAAGTCAAAATGCGGTTCTGATCCTGAGTTTAATTAGAATTTCAAGGCTACTCCCTCTTCTGGTTGTGGGATTTGGTATCTTATTTGGTGAGTAATATTACTGTTAACTGTAACTGTAGCAGGTATCTCTTATTGAATTAAGCAATTATATAAATAGCCTAAACATGAGTTCATTAAGTTGATCTGTTGATGTTACCTTAATTTGTTTAACCTGAGTTTAAGTATCTTAATCATGCACTGTGAGTTTGATAGTCCTATGGATTATTATGGAATTTTTTTGGCAATGCAAGATTCCCACTATCACTATATCACTCTATTAGTCTATATGAATTATCTTCCAGATTCCAAATGTATTCAAAATTGCATGCTTAGGAGCTGCAAAATTTTATAAGTAGGTAAATTTCAATCTTGAATCATTTTAACCTTTGTGATAAGAGTTTTTTTTTTTGATTAGGTATTTGCTTATTTTCTGCCCAGCAGCACTAGGTTCAGTAGGTTCACTTGGTTGAACGGGTTGATGAGATTCAAAGCCAATTTTGATTGATATGCAACTAATAATGTGAGACAGATTTTTAGAATCCTGCAGCCTGCAGAAAGGTAGGAATATTAATTTGATTTACCTTTACCTAAAAATTAGTATATATTTTGATGGACCATTTATTTTTAATGGATTTTGTCAGCTACATTAACTACTTGAAGGCCATGTGTATAGGACACAGATTATATTTTCTTTGGGTCATGTGAGTTTTGGCAATTGATGAAACATTTTGAGGCCTTTCTCCAAGTTCATGTGTGAAGTTGGGCAAAATCAAGAATGAAAAATTGCATAGTTCATATTTTTTTTATTAAATCTAGAGTTATGCAACTTGATATACTTGCTTCTATGAAAATTGTCATTCTCAAAAGTTTAGATCAATATTTTCTCATGATTTTGTGGCTTTTAAAATAAAGGCATCTCTTAACAAAATCTATAAACTTGCAGCTCCAAAAAACTAATCACAGCTCAGTGAGCTCAACTTTTCTTATGTCTGGAAAACATGGATTCTTTAGGAGTGGTTCTGATTGGAAGGTTGGAACGACAATTCTTTCCATACTGGAGATAATTGTTTCAAGTCAATTGTTTTATTATATCACAGTTAGGCCAAATTTTTTGAAAGATACACCTACCAACTTATGTACCTATAGTACTATATCATTTCCAGAATTTCAACCTTGGCCATTAGAGATTGCTGAGGCTGCATGAGGCACCAACCATCAACTTGTTCAAATAGGCTTGATTTGATCATGTGTTATTATATGTACAGTATATATACTGAGGAGCTTCCCATCAGAATGAGACAACTAGACAGTTGACATAACATGTGATTTTTTTGATGTAGATGTGATTGGAAGTGTTATTTTTGGGGACTTTGCAAGTCAAGTGCCAGACAAAGATATTGAAGGACAGAACCTGACAGGCCAGAACATCAAGTTGCACCAACTCAAGCTATGCTATGTTGAGTTCTGTTCAAATCAGCCTATATACTACCAAGACAGTACCAGTTTTGTATAAAAATTGGTAACCTTTATTTGTGACATAAAATTCAGACAATTTTGGTCCATTCTCAAACTTAACTCTGCATAATCTGTAATCATACTGCCATTACACTTACTGCCTGTCTGTATATAACTGTTGATGGAAATGGGAGTCAAATTGGAAAATCAACCTCAGCACCATGTATGAAAAATTGCACAAGTCATTAGATTTTTCACATGTGAGGAGAATGTGGTGACCTAGTACGTATGGCCTTCAACTTTTGAAAAAGTTAGCTAGAAAAAACTGTAAAGTATTTTAATTCCCTTTCATGAGATATATATAAAGTTATTACAAGTGTGCTGCAACTTGATTAAGATGCTGTCAGTAGCTGGATTTTAGGTAATTATTTTGAGGATGTTATTTATCATCTCTGATGGAACTTGAACTGAATGCATGACAACTTGTCTGACTGGACTATTGATTATGACTGGCATATACGTAATACATACACAAACATTTTGGAAGGCTGTAAAGAACAAAGAGGAAGCTGGATATTTAGTTTCTGACTGAATAAATGCTAATTCTATGTAGGCTACAATCTACAAGACATACAAATTCTGTTTTATTTTAATTATTCAAGCCTTAAAATCTAGACTGAAAACGTCTTGTGTGATGAAATCTTTGTATTTGTTGTAAAATAATTCAATTGTCAAGGAATATACCAGTATATGAAAATATTTTTAAAATAATTTGATTGTTGTAGCTATTTGCATTTTTGGTGCTGTTAAGAAATAATAATCAACTATGTTTATTGACAGAAAGATCACTGGACATGAATACTGAATAATGCTTGTGTAGATAACTCATGGGTACATTACAATTGCCAGGCATATTGTAATATCAACCTTGCCCTGCATAAAGGTTGAGTAACATCACAATCATCAAAATGTTTAAATATGTGAAATCAACCTTGCCCTGCTTCATAATAATGGAATAACACATGGTACAGTACATTTGCCAACATTGCTAGGTACCTACTTATCTTGATAGTTTACTTGATAATAGCTTTGCTCTCTATTTCATTTCATTATCTAGCAATCACATTTCTCATCAATACCTGGTATTATCTATTATTGTCCATGATATTCTAGGATTTCCTTTTCAGTATTTTGGATCAGGCATGAACTGGCCTTTGATAATAACATTCTATCAACATGATTGTTAGTGGCATAGGTACCGTATATACATGGCAGATTGAAATGCTGCAGTTCATGATTGCAGTGATATAGGTAGTATACAATGTAATTTCATCAGTATTCTCTCCTTGTATTATACTATATGTTTTTAGCATTGGCGTTGAACAGTGGGGATTGGCCTCCTGACATTAAGTTTCAACTTTTAAACATTGTGTACATACCGGTAGTATATAATTGAAGTAATTTGTGCCATTACAAGATATTAATAGAAATCAACTGTCTGCTACCGTATTTTATACTTCTTTTGTTCATGATGTTATCATGGTGATGTTATAGGTACCCTACTCATTAGGTTCATAAAATTTATTTTATTTAAATCCATTTATATTTATTTGAATTTCTATGGACAACATAGAAATATTCGTGTTGTTTAATTTAATTTGTTGTTTATTTTAGCCAAAGCTAATATGTAAGAAAACTTGAAATATGTTAGTAATCATTTAGATGTTGTTGTAAAATTTTTAGGTATGAATAAACTATGTTTGGTTGGCAGAACTTATCACTGCAGCTGTTGAGTTATGCAAGTGTACCGGTAGTTGCCACTCATGAATAGCGGGGCTGAAAAACTGGTAAATGCCACGCAATCCAGATCCATCATTCATATGCATTGCATAGAAACGAATACATTCAAACGTGTCCATACCAGGACACGTACTATCGGCTTGATGCATTCTAAACTATACTCTACTGATTATTACAATTGTTATGACAGAAACTCTGCAATTTTTCTGTGAATTTGTAATTGCAACGTCTAATTTCTATGCAAAGTCTTCATTGCATGCATAAATTGAAATCGTTGAAAGTTCTATGTGAAGCAAAAGCGACGATATAGATTCTGATTTTCTTGAAAATTAATTAATTTGTTACCTGAATTGAAGTTTCCACGAAGCATGCTCTAGAGTGGTCCGAGTAACAACATGTGCGTGAGGAAAAGCTGATTTTCGCATCGATTTCTGTTTCCCTGATCTGTGTGGCTACACGAACAACTGCTACGTGTGTGTATTCGTCCGTCCCTGTTCAATACAGCGCTACAAGTTACGTACCTGCGTGATTGTTTAGTAGCGTTATTGTATCTTCTTTGAAGCTAGAATCTGCATCATTAGCTGAAGGAAAGCTACATGGAAGTTTGGTTTTATGTCCGAAGCTCAAGTCTAACCGCATTCCAATTTGATTTTGAGTCGACGTTTAACTGCAGCTTAACCGACGTTCAGATTTGAGTTTGCTAAGCTAACTATTCATCAAAGTTTGATTGTTCGACTAAAGTTAAAAGGTAACTGCATCGAAGTAAGGTTCAGCTCTATCGAAATCCACGTTTTGTTATCGCTTGAAGCTTAACATCACTCACCAAACAATATCGCGTAATATTGCTATCGTCAGAAATATTGCATTTAAATCAAAGTAAGAAATCAAAATTTACGGACTTTTGTTGTTACTGTGCCTCTGAGTAACCGCGCGATAACCTTTGATCGCCCTCAAATAACCATAGCTTGGTTGACAGAGGTTTACCATGCATAAAGGTTTCATCAATATACTTACCCTGTGCTATGATCTATTGTTTGTGGCTGCAATGATCGGTGTCGACAGCACAATCGCGTCACGAGAGCCTCTAGTTGACACAGAATGGGAAAGAACAATCCTATGAGCCTTCACGATGTCAACTTTCTCACCAACACTCTCGCTATCTCTACTGATAACGTTACAGTTTTTTGCTCCTGTTGCCTTCCGATAAATATTTTTTCAAGATTTTTTCGTTTTTGCCTCTGAAATATTCCAACTTTTGAATTGATTTTCCTTACCGATGAAATTTTATCCTTTGTTGGTAGGTACCTCTGATAAAGGTACGCATGAGGATTACAGGCATTTGTTCAATTTTGTTGCTATTTATTTGTAGGATATACATTTTTTATCATTTCTTTCTAAAGGTTTGCAGGAAATGTGTCAGTCCCCTTTTTTATTTTATTTTTTGGTTCACTCTCTAATGATGATTTTGTTATTGCTATTTCCTCTGATGATCTCCCGTAGTAACTCTTCAGTTAAATTTGACGATTGAAGGTAGGTACTCTGCTGATGTAATTTGTAATGCAATATTTTGGATGTGCTGGAAAAGATTTCTGTAGGTACTCAGAACGAGCCCTAACAAAGATCAAGCTGCTGACTGAAATATAAATACCCTTTGTTCCCAAAAATAAATAAACATCCAGAACTAGACAAATGAACGCGTCCTTAAGTCAGTATACCAAAGGTTTATCGTAATTACAACAGAAAATCCGTTGAATCAGTTCATGGAACGCAATAGGATAATTTTGTTTGCGTTG